AAAAAGGGGCCGGGTGCAGTGGCTCAAGCCTGTAATCCCAGCACTGTGGGAGGCCGAGGCAGGTGGATCACGAGGTCAAGAGATTGAGACCATCCTGGTCAACATGGTGAAACCCCGTCTCTACTAAAACTACAAAAAATTAGCTGGGCATGGTGGCGCGTGCCTGTAATCCCAGCTACTCAGGAGGCTGAGGCAGGAGAATTGCCTGAACCCAGGAGGCGGAGGTTGCGGTGAGCCGAGATCGCGCCATTGCACTCCAGCCTGGGTAACAAGAGCGAAACTCCGTCTCAAAAAAAATAAATTAATTAATTAAATTTATAGTTACATATCTTCCCCCAAAAGTCTCCAGGCCCAGATGGTTTTATTGGAGAATGTTATCAAATATTTTTGAAAGAAATAACATGAATTCCAAATAATTCTCTTTCAGAAATCATAAGAGGAGAAATATTTTTCAATTTGTTTTATGATGCCAGCATCACCTTGATACCAGAAGCCAAAGACATTACTGGAAAAGAACACTATAAATCAGTATCCCTCATATTAGAAAATGGATTCTAGCAATATAAAAAGGACAATTCATCATGGCTAAGTAGGGCTTATCCTGAGAATACAAAGTCTGCTCAAAATTTTGACAAAAGTAGACATCTGGCCATGCGCTGTGGTACACACCTGTAATCCCAGCACTTTGGGAGCCTGAGGCAGGCAGATCACCTGAGGTCAGGAGTTCGAGACCAGCCTGACTAACATGGTGAAACCCTGTCTCTACTAAAAACACAAAATTAGCTGGGCGTGGTGGCGGGCGCCTGTAATCCCAGCTATTCAGGAGGCTGAGGCAGGAGAATAGCTTGAACCTGGGAGGTGGAGTTTGCAGTGAGCTGAGATTGCACCACTGCACTCCATCCTAGGCCTCAGAGAAAGACCACATTTCAAAAAAATAAATAAATAAACATCCATTCGGGGGGAAAAAAAAAAACAAAAACCCAACTCAGCAAACTGGGAATAGAAGGAAACTTCCTTAACCTGCTAAAAGGCATTTTAAAAGATATTTAATGTTAGAAGTCTAAATGCTTTCCACCAAAGATTGAGAACAAAAAAAGAATGTTTGCATTCACCACTCCTAGTCAATATTGTTCTGAAAGTTCCGGCCAATCTAACAGGTAGGCAAAGAAAACAAAAGTCATGTTGATTGAAAAGGAAGGAAAAGAAAACTGTCTTTATTCACTAATGACATGATCGTCAAAAAGAAAAGCC